GGGGAATATGAATAATAGTGAAAGGGAATATAAGGGAAGGGAGAAGAAATGTGTGAGAAATATCAGAAAGGGAGACAGAACATAAAGACTTCTAACTCTGGGAAATGAACTAGGGGTGGTGGAGGGGGAGGAGGGCGGGGGGTGGGGGTGAATGGGTGACGGGCACTGAGGGGTACACTTGACGGGATGAGCACTGGGTGTTATTCTGTATGTTGGTAAATTGAACACCAATAAAAATTAATTTATAAAATTAAAAAAAAAAAAAAAGAAAAGATGCATGATAGGACTTCAATCTTCTGGGCAGCCCCGATGGCGCAGCGGTTTAGCGCCACCTGCAGCCCAGGGTGTGATCCTGGAGACCAGGGATCGAGTCCCACATCAGGCTCCTTGCATGGAGCCTGCTTCTCCTTCTGCCTGTGTCTCTGCCTCTTTCTCTGTATGTTTCTCATGAATAAATAAATACATAAATCTTAAAAAAAAAAAAAGGACTTCAATCTTCTTGAATTTGCAGAGGCTTATTTTATGGGCTAATGTATGATCTATTCTAGAGAATGTTCCATGTGCACTTGAAAATAATGTGTATTCTGCTGGTTTAGAATGGAAGGTTTTAAAAGTATCTCTTAAATTCGTCTATTCGAGTGTGTCATTCAAAGCCATTATTTCCTTATTGATTGTTTAGATGATCTGTCCATTGATGTAAGTAGGGTGTTGAAGTCCCGTACTATTATTGTACTATTATCAAAGAGTTCCTTTATGTTTGTCATGAATTGCTTTATGTATTCGGGCCCTGCTATGTTGAGTGCATACATGTTGACATTTGTTATATCTTCTTGTTGGACTGTACCCTTTGTGACTATATAGTGTCCTTCTTTGTCTCTTGTTATAGACTTTATCTTAAAGTCTGTTTTGTCTGATATAAGTATTGCTATTTTGGCTTTCTTTTGACATCCATTTGCATGATAGATATTTTTCAATCCCCTTATTTTCAATCTACAAGTGTCTTTGGATCTGAATGACTCTCTTGTAGGCAGCATATAGATGGGTCTTGTGCGTTTTTTTAATCCATTCTGTTACCTTATGTCTTTTGATTGGAGCATTTAGTCCATTTACATTTAAAATAATTATTGATGGGGCACCTGAGTAGCTTGAGTAGTATTCAAGCAACTGCTTGAGTATCCAACTCTTTTTTTTAAAATATTTTTTTTAATTTTTATTTATTTATGATAGTCACACACACAGAGAGAGAGAGGGGCAGAGACATAGGCAGAGGGAGAAGCAGGCTCCATGCACCAGGAACCCGACGTGGGATTCGATCCCGGGTCTCCAGGATCGCGCCCTGGGCCAAAGGCAGGCGCTAAACTGCTGCGCCACCCAGGGATCCTGAGTATCCAACTCTTAACTTTAGCTCCGGTCATGATCTCAAGGCTCTGGGATTGAGCCCCAGGTCAGGCTCTGTGCTCAGCAGAGAGTCAGCTTCTCCCTCTGCCTGCCCCTCCCCCCTACTTTCTCTCTTTCTCCCTCTCAAATAAGTAAATCTTTAAAAAACTAAAATGATTATTGATAGATATGAAATTTATTGTCATTTTATTATTTCTTTTATGATTATTTCTGAAGATTTTCTCTCATCCTTTTTTATCTTTCTTTCATGGTTTGCTGATTTTTTTAGTGATATCTTTGCTATTTCTTTCTCTTTATTCCTCGCATATTACTGGTGATTTTTGATATATGGTTACCATAAGTTTGTATATAAACTCTTCTGCAAATAGCAGTCTTTACTAAGTTGATAGTTATTTAAGTTTGAACCGATTCTTTGCTTCTGTCCTCTCCACATTTGGGTATATGTTGTTATATTTTACATCCTTTTATTTTGTGCATTCCTTGACTAATTTTTTTTACAGAAATATTCATTTTTACTGCTTTTGTGTTTTCTACCTCTACACTGTCACTTTTGATCTATCCTTTCCACTTCTTTCCACTCAAGAGTCCCCTTTACTATCTATCCCTTGCAGGGCTAGTTTACTGGGCATGAATTCCTTTAGCTTTTGTTTGTCTAGGAAAGTCTTTATCTCTCCTATTCTGAATGACAGCCTTGTTGGATAGAGTATTCTGAGCTGCAAACATTTCACATTCAGCAATTTGAATATATTATGCCACTGTCTTCTGGCTTAGCGTATTCTCAATTACTCTTATACTTAACCTCTCAGTTTTCATTACACTGTTTTTCTTTCAGGGTCTAGTTCATCAACTAGAGTGGAACTCCTATATATCTTGTAAGGAAAATTTTTCATCTTAGAAACCAATTCTGGAGACATTCTTTAGTACAAGACAAACTATAGATGCAGTTCTTAGAATTAACCAAGTTTATGATACCTTGAAATACCTTGAAATACTTAATTCAGAATAATTCCATTTTAAGTAGAATTTCAGAGTGCTACTCTCTAACATTTTAGGATTACTGACATGATCTAAGTAAATGATTTATGCTTAATCCCTAAATACAATTATTAAAAAGTTTATAATCAGGCATTCTCATAATCCTTTAACATTTTTAAATATAATTTTCCTCATTTAAATTCATCAGATCAAAACAAATAAATTCATCATCTGTATCATATATGTAGTTATTTCCTTCTTTTTGTCCTCAAAACTTTTAACAAATACTGGTCAGCTGCAATAAAACAAGTTCTGAAATAAGTCCTATGCTTTTATTATCACTATCAAATACATTAACATGGTGAGCTTGGTAAAAAATATGATTCCAAGGTGCCACGAAGCGCACATGTTTCAACTGCAGAAAATCTTATTCCTTCAAGAGTATAGTTAGCAAAGCAATGAGATAAATCTTGATTTAACGTTATGATATGAACAAATAAGACATATAATTTGATATATAAAAGAAATCACATGTATATAAATGTATGTACATTTTAATGAGAAGGGTTTTTGAAGATACTGATATACCAAACTGGATTGACCAAGAAAAGCTTCCCACAATACACCCATCTGAGCTTGGACTAGACAACAGAGAAACACAAGAAACAATGGCCCATTCTGAGCATGGGAGACAGCTCTTTCTCTGTTCGTGATGACAAGTCAGATGGTCTAATGTAGGTAACTAAAGTCCCTGTGCTAGAGAATAAAGTTTGGTTTGACAGGATTGGCAAAGGGAAGGGAAATGCACTTCATTAAAGTCTTGCATCTCTGAAATGGCAAAGACAGAAAAGACAAAAACAAAGAGAAACCCTCAACTTTCAGTTGATATTTTCAGTATTTTTAGATATAGGATAAAGAGAATTAATACAAGATTATGTGGCAGTTACATAACTTTTCTAAATATATCATTTCTGATAACTGAGAAAATTGTAATATGTATTACATGGTAAACATTGCCATTGCATTTTAGTGAAAAGAAAGTAAGTTTTCAGCTGCTAAGTGGCAAAGCCTAAGTTCACAAACATCACGGGTCATTGATTCAAAAGTTCATGTTCTTTTAACTAAATTGGCAGTATTTACTAATATGTTATTATAAATACATTCAAGATATTCTTTCTTTAATTTTATTTATTTATTTATTTTTTATTTATTTATGATAGTCACAGAGAGAGAGAGAGAGAGAGGCAGAGACACAGGCAGAGGGAGAAGCAGGCTCCATGCACCGGGAGCCCGATGTGGGATTCGATCCCGGGTCTCCAGGATCGCGCCCTGGGCCAAAGGCAGGTGCCAAACCGCTGCACCACCCAGGGGTCCCTCTTTCTTTAATTTTAAAGTTGAATTTGTTGAGATAATTTTCATATACAGTAAAAGTCATCCCTTTTTTAAGTGTGTGGCTTGTTGAGTTTTTGTAAATGCTCATAGTTCAGTAAACATGCCAAATATCATAGTATACATTTCCATCACCCTAGTAAGTACGTGCATCTCTTTGTCATCAGTGTCCTTTTACTACCCCAGTTCTGGTAGCCTCCACTCTGATTTTCATTCTTCAAGTTTTCTAGAATGCAATACAAATAAAATCATACAGATAAAAGCCTTTTGTGTCTGACTTCTTTTAGTAAGTAAAATCAATGATCTGTCTTTATACATCACATTGTTTTGATTACTGTAGTTTCATATTAAGTTCTAAAGTCAGGACATACTAAGTTCTCCAACTTTATTCTTCTGTTTCAAAATCATTTGGTTATTTTGGATGCTGGAAATTCCCACATAAATTTCTGGATCAGCTTACCTTTTTGCAAAGATCCTAGAGGGATATTGATAGGATTTTTTGAATCTACTGATAAAGTTGGCGAGAACTGCCATATTAACAATTCTGAGTCTTCCCATCCATGACCATAAGATGTCTATTTATTTAAATCTTTATGAATTTTTCTCACTAACATGTTCTGTCAGCTTTGCTTTGAAATTTTGATGTATAGGCGTTATACTTCTTTGTTAAATTTACTCTTACATACTTAATTTCTTTGTGAATGAAGTTATTTTATTTTCATTTTCAGAAAATGCATTGATAGTCTGTAGATATGCAATTGTCTATGCTTATTGATATTATATTCTCTGGTATTGCTGAACATTTTTATTAGTTTTAACAGTATTTTTGTGGACTGCTTAGGATTTCCTTCATATGGGATCACATCATCTGCCAATAAAGGCAATTTACTTTTCTATTAATCTGGATGCCTTTAATTAATTAATTTAAAAGGTTTCATTTATCTACTGAAAGAGATAGAGAGTTTACGAGCAGTGAGGAGGGGCAGAGGAAGACAGAGAAAATCTCAAGCAGATTCCACAATGAGCTTGGATTCTGACACAGCACTCAATCTCACTACCCTGAGATCATGAGCCCCACTGAAATCAAGAGTCAGTCACTAAATTGCTCCACTCAGGAGTCTCTTTATTTATCTTATTTAAATTTAATTTTGGCCTTACTGCAAGTGGTCAGAATGTCCTATACAATGGTGAGTAGTAGAGTAATGAGATTGAATATCTTGACTTGTTCTCTATGAAAGGGAGCAATATCACTCTCTCATCATTTATCTTCCAACAAATAATAGAAAACTTAACATAAAGGATTTGCTGTCACAGATGCATCACTACAATGCTGGGGTTAAACAAAGTGCTCTTCTTGGACTTAAAGACCTTTTGTCTCAGTACCCATTTATAATTGATGCACACCTTTCAAACATATTAAGTGAAGTGACTGCTGTGTTTACAGATAAAGATGCTAATGTACGATTAGCAGCAGTTCAACTTCTTCAATTCCTGGCCCCCAAAATACAAGCTGAACAAATTTCTCCATTTTTCCCTCTGGTAAGTGCCTGTCTCTCTAGTGCCATGACTCACATTACTGAAGGAATTCAGGAGGACTCTTTAAAAGTTTTGGACATTCTGCTGGAACAGTACCCAGCCTTATTTACTGGTTATAGCAGTATATTGCTTAAGAATTTTGTAGAACTTATTTCTCATCAGCAGCTGTCTAAAGGACTAATAAATAGAGACAGATCCCAGTCCTGGATACTTTCTGTAAATCCTAATAGGAGACTCACTTCTCAGCAATGGAGGCTGAAAGTCTTAGTGAGACTCAGTAAATTCCTTCAGGCCTTGGCAGATGGATCCAGTAGGTTGAGAGAAAGTGAAGGACTTCAGGAACAAAAAGAAAATCCCCATGCCACTAGCAACTCCCATTTTTATTAACTGGAAGGAACATGCCAGAGACCAGCAGCACATCCAGGTTTATGAAAATGGGGGTTCACAGCCAAATGTCAGTTCACAGTTCAGACTACGGTACCTGGTTGGAGGACTAGGCAGTGTGGATAAGGCCTCTCATCTACTGAAAACTTGAAAGGATTTATTGAGATAATAATTCCATTGCTGATTGAATGCTGGATTGAAGCTGTGCCTCCACAACTAGCTGCTTCTATTGGAAATGGTATAGAGCGAGAACCTCTGCAGGTTATGCAGCAAGTTCTTAATATTATTTCCCTTCTGTGGAAACTCTCTAAACAACATGATGAAACTCATAGATTGGAGTCGTTGCTTCGAAAGAATTATCTTCTTGATTTCAAACACCATTTTATGAGTCACTTTCCATATGCCTTAAAAGAAATAACCAAGCACAAAAGGAAAGAGACATTTAGCATAGTATTAGCTGTACATTTTTTGTAAATGCCTTTTAATAGACTGAGAAAATTGCATTTTATTCCTTTTTGTTGAAAGTTTTTTGTTTTCACTTTTGTTTTTAAATAAGAACTGGATATTGGATTTTGAATCATTTTTGCATCTTTTATGATGATCATATGTTTTCCCCTTTATTCTGTTAATTCGGTGCATGACATTAATTGATTTTTTAATATTACACTAATCTAATTTTGTTTTGTTAAAATGACAAATCTATCAATTTACACATGTTGGTCAGTTTAAACATTGATTTGGTTTGCTATTTTGTTGATGTTTTTTGCTTAAGACTTTATTTATTCATGTTTCATGAATAAATTCATGTAAACATAATTCATGTAAACATAAATTTATGTTTAAGAAGGATATTGATCTAATTTTCTTGTGGTATCTTGTCTGGCTTTGACATGACAATGATATTGGAATCAGAGAATTAGATGGAAAATGTTTTTTCCTCCTCCAAATTCTGAAGAATAAAAGAATAGTATTACTTCTTCCTTAAATATCTGAATATGCACCAAGGAAGCCATGTGGGCCTGGGTTTTCCTCTATGTGAAGATCTCAAATTGCTAATTCTATTTTTTACTTATTGGCCATTCAGATTTTCTTTTCTTTTCTTTTCTTTTTTTTTTTAGTCAGTTATGAGTGTGTATCTTTCTAGGTATTTGTTTCATCAAATTGTCCAATGTTGACAAAAAATAGTTCAAAGTATTTCTTTACAATGCTTGCTTCTGTAGGATTGGTAATGATGTCCTCTCTTTTGTTTCTGATTTTGACAATGGGTATCTTTTCTCTTTTTTCTTCGCCAGTCTAGCTAAAGATTTGTCCATTGTGTTGATTTTTTCAAAGAACCAATCTTTGATTTTATGTATTTTCTCTATTATTTTATTGGTTTTCTCAACTGTTTTCCTATTTACCATTTCATTGATTTCCACTGCAATTTTTATTATTTTCCTCCACATTTTCATTTTCGTTTGCTCCTTTTCTAGTATTTTATGATGAAGCTTAGATTATTTTTTAAAGGTTTCATATATTTATTCACAAGAGACACAGAGAGAGGTGGAGACTTGGCAGAGGGAGAAGCAGGCTCTCTGTGGGGAGTCTGATGTCTGATGCAGGACTCGATCCCAGGACCCCAGGATCATGACCTGAGCCAAAAGCAGATGCTCAACCACTGAGCCACCCAGGTGCCCTTGAAGCTTAGATTATTAATTTGTGATTTCCTTTTATAATATTGTAGGCACTTGAAGCTACAAATTTCCTTTATCACTGTGTTAGTTAAATCTCACAAATTTATATATGCCGTATTTTCAGTCATTTCAAAATATTTTAAAATTTCCCTTGTGATTTTTTTGTGACTCACAGGTTATTTTAGAAGTATTTTGTTCAGGGTAGCCGCGGTGACTCAGCAGTTTAGTGCTGCCTTCGGCCCGGGTTGTGATCCTGGAGACCTGGGATCGAGTCCCGTGTCCGGCTCCCTGCATGGGGCCTACTTCTCCCTCTGCCTCTCTCTCTCTCTCTCTCTCTCTCTCTCTCTGTGTGTGTGTGTCTCTCATGAATAAATAAAATCTTAAAAAAAAAAACTTTCCCCTTTAAAAAAAAAGGGAAGTATTTTGTTCAATATTTAATATTTGAGGATGTCTCCAATTTTTTAATTGTTGACTTCTATCTTAATTTTGTTATGGTGAGAGAACAGGTTGTATGACTTGAACATTTTTAAGTTTATTGAATCTGTTGTATGGGACTAGCATATGGTCTATCCTGAAAATGCTCCATCTGCACTTGAAAATAATATGTGTTTCAGTGTTTTGTGATGGAGTGTTCTACAAATTTCACTTACTTCAAGTGAGTTGATAGTGTTATTCAAGTCTTCATGTTCTTGCTGGTTTTGTCTCATTATTCTATGAATTGTTAAGGGTAGAAGTTTGAACCAATTCTTGTTGAATTCTCTATCTCATTTCAATTTTATTAGGTTTCCTTCCTGTTGTTAGGGGTCTATATGTTTTTAAATTTTTTATCTTCCTGATAGGCCTTTGTCTCTATTAAATGTCTTTGTTTTTCTGTTAGTTCATTTTCAAAATTTTATCCTTGTTTTTGTCTTTCAAAAGTTTTGAGCATCATGTGTCCAGGCCTGGATCTCTTTGTATTTATTTGATTTGGAGTTTGTTATGATTCCTAGATATACACATTGATATCGTTCATAAAACTTGGAAAGTTTGGTCATTAATTTCTAAAATATTTTCCTGTGTTTTCTGTCTTCTTCTGGAACTCTTATATATTGATACGCTTGATGCTATACCAGAGCATCTGTGGCTCTTTTCATTGCTCTTCGTCTTTCTTGTTTTTCATGAATTATTCCTAGTCATAAAGCTTCAAGTTCACTAATTCTTTCTTCTACCATCTCAAGTCTACTTCTGAGTCCCTCTAGTAAATTTCCATTTTTTTTAATATAATTTCTTCCTCTTTGTTGATACTCTCTATTTGGTGATACGTCATTCAAATACTTTCCTTCAATTCTTCAAAGCATAGAGTCCTTTAGTTCTTTGAACATATACTTATCATAGATCCACTGAAGAGTCCTTTTGCTAAATTCTACACCTGGGCCCTCAAATGACAGTTTCTATTAAATACTTCTTTTTTATTCATTCATTTATTTTTTTAATATGGATCACACTCTGAAAGTCCCACTTTCCTTAAAATTTATAATTATTAATTTTTATAAACATACTTAGGGTTGCTCACTGTTTAAATGTCAACATAAGTTTTGCTGGATCAACCAATATAGACAAAAAATGTTATATTAGTTTTGCTTTGTTTGTTAGGATGGAGATTTGAATTTGAGGAATTGGGAAATTAGTAGCTAATTCAATTGTGCAATTTAAATTTATTTTTTGACAAGTTTATTATCAAAAGTAATGGGAGACATGATAGCTTGACATGGTTGGAGAAAAGAATTTGTCTGTCAATTAAAAGTGATTTTATTAGAAGAACAGAAGTTCTATCAGCACCTAAAGCTACCAGTAAACCTACAAAGGGTAATCTCCGAAGGCAAATGACTGTTAGGTTGATGTAAAGATTAATGATATAGGGACAGAAATGGGAAAATGCATAATTAATCAAGTAAAGTAACAGGTAATTAACAATACATTTCATAATGTATTATTTAAATTTAAGAATGAAAGACATTTTAAATTAGAAATTCATATATTCACTTTTTAAACTACATCAAAGCAGCTGATAATCACTAAACTGAAGATCTGCTATATTCCTGACATGGAATATTCTCTGCAAACGAAGCAAGATTTGCAAGTATGTCTTCAGTAGCAATTTTTTAATCATATTTTCTTTCTTTAAAGGCAACAACTGCCAAAACAAAAAAGAAATCGCTCTGCTGAAAAGGGAATGAAAGCTGGAGAAGATCCAGCAAGTAAAGATTGCTCTTTTAAGCCTGATTAAGAAAAAGAATGTCCATACTATGGGGGGAGTTATTCCAGAAGAAAAGATTTTGTTATGGTTGTCTCCATTCCAAACTAAATGAATATCCTTTTATTTCCCTCTCTAACCTATGCTGCTCCAGGATTTGTAGGTCCTACTTATAATGAAAATTGCCAGGGTCCCTATTCAAATCATCTTGGCATCTACAGTAGATGGATTTAGTAGAATTTACAGGAAGGCATCTTATTTCTTCCGTCACCATTATGCCCTACACCTTCGAACAAATGAAGTCCAAGGCAGAATAGTAAGGATCTATACAAAGTGTTTATCTTATCGTCAGAGACATTCAGTAAGACTTGCCAGGTCTCTCACTGATCAATATAATGTTTACTCCCTGGACAATAGCAGGAATCAGTTCAGTTGCACATTAATAAGACAAAGTCTCAAGACTCGTCATATTCCATTACACAGTGAGGTTTAGGAGACAGCTGACACAGACAGCTGTGATTTGCCATCATCTCAGATAATAAATAGAAATCAGCAACATGAAAGAGTTTTACTCCCTCCTGAATTCATCCATGCATTTATCTAAACTTATTACATAATGACAGTTGCTGGCATTTATTAAGGGATTTCCAAGCTAATCAGTTTAACACTCTTAATCTGCATACAACCCTATGGAGTCTTCATTACTGAGATGGAGGAGTTAGGTAACTTGTAAGAGCTCCTAAGTTTCCACTGTATGCTGAGCACTTGCATAATATGGAAATAGAAAACATATGTCACTGTGCCCATCCTTATAGAAAGTAACCATGTAGAATGAGGATATAGGTTTTTTAGGAAATTGTACTACGATAAGATGTAATAATAAAAAATAGTTAATATTTTTAAAAATGCTTACTACTATACAACATACTGTTGAGCATCTTAAATTCATTATGTCCTATCATCCTCACAAGATTGAAATGGGATAACTGATTAACTTTATTTTTGTAGATGAGGAAACTGAGTCTTACAGACATTCATTAAATCCTCAAAAGTTATCAGCTGGGATGCCTTGGTGACACAGTAGTTGAGCGTCTGCCTTCAGCTCAGGTCGTAATCTTGGGGTCTGGGATCAAGTCCCACATCGGACTCCTTGCAGGGAGCCTGCTTCTCCCTCTGCCTGTGTCTCTGCCTCCCTCTCTCTCTCTCTCTCTCTCTCTGTGTGTGTGTCTCTCATGAATGGATAAATAAAATCTTTTTTAAAAAAAGTTATCAGCTACTCAGTGGTGAATGCTATGATTGTGGTATTTACTATGTGCTATAGGAACACAGAGAAAAGAGCAAACAACCAATATGGGAGCTCAGTGAAAGGTTCACACAGAATCATCTGACATTTGAACTAAGGTTTGGATCTTGAGTGGCTGTTCACCTTGAAGGAGATAGCAAAAATATCTGACCTAAGGAAAGACATTTGGAGAGACACGTGGTTATCACAGTTGGGGGACATTCCATAGGTAGAAGCTCTTGAGAAAAAATGGTGAAGACAACAGTGAGAACATAGAAGGATATAA